GTGGATCTGTATCTGGTGGATCTGGATCTGTTGGATCAGGATCAGGATCTGTTGGATCAGGATCTGTTGGATCAGGATCAGGATCTGGTGGATCTGTATCTGGTGGATCTGGATCTGTTGGATCAGGATCAGGATCTGTTGGATCAGGATCTGTTGGATCAGGATCAGGATCTGGTGGATCAGGATCTGGTGGATCTGGATCTGTTGGATCAGGATCAGGATCTGTTGGATCTGGACCTGGTGGATCCCAGCTGTTCCTGCTGGTTTTGCTCCACTGATGTCTTCATTTTCTGTCGCTGTTTGTTTGAGGTTTGAATTCCTGTCTGGTGAGTAGTGATGCTGTGGGCTCACTCTCCCATCTGTTCCTGAAATGAAGGACGAAGTCGCCATAGCAACCAGTGACTCAGCACTTTTCATATCAGTGTGTGGCTGCAGGGCCTCCATGGTCTCACTGGAAACACATTCTTTCACATTTCTGCTCTGAGGAATGGATTGTTGTTCTGTTACCATGGAAACAGGAATACAAGCCTACTTCAGGCCTGCTGTTTTCCCATTACACACACACACACACATACACACACACACACACACACACACACACACTCCCTGCATCACCCTCTGGATCTGGTGACTCTGGGGTTTTTTCTGCTCCTGTCTGCGGCCATCCGGCCTTTTCTCAACCCGTCTCACACACACACACACACACACACACACACACACACACACACACACACACACACACACAGAGGAACCAGCAGGGCTCTGTCCAGAGCCCAGATCTGCTCCCTCAGCCTGCAGAGCCTCATGAATCCCAGTGGAGACGAAACCGACAATGAATAAAGGGAAACTGTGTGAAGCGGCTGCAGCAGCATAGAGGCTGTCAGCGCCGAGAAAGAGCCGCAGGAAACGCTGCCAGAGGAAGAGGAGGATGAGGAGGAAGAGTCTGACAGCCAGCCTGCTGGGGAAACTGAACTTCTACCAGCTCACATACTGGGGGGCTCCTCTGCTCTTCATCAGGAGGAAGAGGAATCTAAATGTCATTAACATGCATGAAGGCGACAGCGCCACCATGTGGTAGAGCAGCAGAAATCCCATCAATGAGAAAAATTCATCATTTAAATAGTGAACAATCGAATGTTTCATGAGAAATGTGAGGTTGTTCATATTTTAAGATGTTATATTTTTACAGTTTGCCATTAAAGCAAAGACCTTAAAGGTTTATTGGTTTATTTATGCAGCGCTTAACCCAACAACCAGCTATGAAGCAAAAATCACACAACCCTGAACAAACAGCTAGGGGTTTTCATTAAACACATGCAAAAATGAACTTTTATTTACTGTTTTCAGAGCCTCCTGTTAGCGCATTAGCATTAGCTTCCACTAAATACTACACTGTTGTAACGCTTCAGCTATTCATAAACCAGCTTTAGTTTATGATGAGTGCTTTAGCGTTAGCAGAGCTACCTTTTTAGCTAGCGCTGCCTGGTTACCATGGAAACCAAACACAGAGGCTGCTGCTAGCCTCGATGTAGCAGGTGTTCCTTCGCTAACGGCTGCAGCTAAAGGCCGTTTCCTGGTTTGTTGAGTTATTAGTCATAAATATGAACTCGGAGACGGATGGAGACTCAGGAGCCGTTTCTGTTCTCACAGCCAAACTGAGAAACGGCTCAGATCAACATGTCAGCGGTGAAGTCGGCCAGCTGTGTCTGCAGCTGCAGGTTTCAGGGTGTGTAATGTAACCGGTTCTGCTCTGTGGGTTTGTTTGCATCCAGCCCAAACCCACCAAGGGCCGCATGCGGATCCACTGCCTGGAGAACGTGGACAAGGCCCTGCAGTTCCTGAAGGAGCAGCGGGTCCACCTGGAGAACATGGGCTCCCACGACATCGTGGACGGAAACCACCGCCTCACGCTGGGCCTCATCTGGACCATCATCCTGCGCTTCCAGGTGAGCTTAAAACGGGTCAGAACCGCCACCGCTGCTGCTGGTGTTTATGACGTAATCACGGCTGAAATGGGCGGACAGGATTTATCTTTGATAAGCTGTGAGGATTAAATCCATCCTGCCAGAAGAATCAGGCTGAAACGGAGCCGGCCGGACGAACCGCTCTGCGCTTTAGCTGCTGCAGTCAGAGATATCTGGGTCGGGTCGGGTTGTGGTGGTCCGAGTCGGGCTGAGGGACATCCATCTATGAAGGTCAGACAGTTTCTGCTAGAACCTCACAGAGAGTTACCTCAGATTATAACGAGATTATTGTTCATAAATTAGCTAAAAACCAGATTTCTGCCTATAAGAATGTTTGGTTGTTTTGTAGAGTTGGCAGCTAACGCCTGTTCCCGTTTCTGTAGCTAATGGCTAACAGCCAGCTATCCTGTAGCTAACAGCCAGCTATCCTGTAGCTAACGGCCAGCTATCCTGTAGCTAACGGCCAGCTATCCTGTAGCTAATGGCCAGCTATCCTGTAGCTAACAGCCAGCTATCCTGTAGCTAATGGCCAGCTATTCTGTAGCTAACAGCCAGCTATTCTGTAGCTAACAGCCAGCTATCCTGTAGCTAACAGCCAGCTATCCTGTAGCTAACGGCCAGCTATCCTGTAGCTAACGGCCAGCTATCCTGTAGCTAACGGCCAGCTATCCTGTAGCTAACGGCCAGCTATCTTGTAGCTAACGGCCAGCTATCCTGTAGCTAACAGCTAGCTACAGGAACCTTTCTGCTGACAGGCCAGGTGACTTCATGTGTTAGCACTTCATGGATTCATCCTCACTGGTTCATCCCTTCATTTTAAGAGTCTCTAGTGTCTGAATGATGAGCAGGTCAGAGGTCAGAGTTCAGTTTCTTTGATTTTTATCTCAGTTTCTTTCATTTTCAGACTCTAAAGGAGAATCCAGTCAGACCTTCAGGAAACCTGATTGACCAGGAACGTTTTAGATAATCAATGGAACCAATAACTGGTTGGAAACATAACGGATCCGTTTCTCACATCCAGCTGAGAAAACGGTTCTGAACACGTCAGTGTTTGTTTCTCTAAATGTCTAAAGCAGCTGCTGGAATGAAAGTTCAGTCAGATTAATGCATAAATTAAATATAATGGAGAGGAGTGAGACGCGTGTATTAACCTCGCTGTGTTGCATCGGATGCTCCAGTGTTCTGTAAACAGCCGCATCAGCAGGCCTTTCCTTCAGCAGTGGAGTGTTGTGCAGTGCGACCTGGTGGCTTATAGAGAAACTTCAGGTTTTATTTTAGCTCCTTTCTCCGTCTTTGGTTTGAAGGATTTAAATGGAGATGAGACATTTGGAGCGAGGCTTGGAGAAAATGTGCCGTCAGTTTGTCGTCAGGGTTTCTGTTCTGCTTGGTCCACTTTGGTTCTGTTTGGTTCCGTTTGGTTCTGTTTGGTTCCGTTTGGTTCTGTTTTGACTTCTGACCTTGTGTGTGTCTCAGATCCAGGACATCAGTGTGGAGACGGAGGACAACAAGGAGAAGAAGTCGGCTAAAGACGCTCTGCTGCTCTGGTGCCAGATGAAGACTGCAGGGTCAGTACACAACACCTGATGACCTCTGACCCTGAAACCTCCCCAGGGCTTACAGGCTAGAATAAAACAGTTTTAACCAAAGAATAACCTAATTTTTCTCTGAGTGTTTAGATCATAGAGAACAGAAACGGCTCAGATTCAGGCTGATTGGACATCATCTGATGATCCGAGGCAGAGAACACGATATTTTGTTTCCAGGATCAGTTTCTGTTAATGTCAAACTTTCACTGCTGATCCTCTGACTTCCTGCTCAGGTATCCAAACGTCAACATCCACAACTTCACCACCAGCTGGAGAGACGGGATGGCCTTCAACGCCCTCATCCACAAACACAGGTACCACACCTTCATCCTCCTCATCCTCATCATCGGAAACAACCGGCCATAAAGCTGATGTGAACTTAAATAACCTCATTGAACCAGAGGTCTTCAGTGTTTTTCATCCTGGAAAATGATTTTAAACTTCAGTTTATAATATCTCAGTGATGTCATAAGCAAACATAAAAGGCAGAACTTTTACCATAAACAGATTTTTGCTCACTAAACGTTTTTCTGCCTCATTTTATCAGTTTGTTACACGATGGATTCATGTTGATGTTCGTTTGAAGACACAACTTTGTCTTTTAAAAAATAGACAAAACATCTAATTAGTGAGGAACCTCCTGACCCTAGTGGGGGCCACGACCCCCATGTTGAAGACCGCAGCATTGAACTTCATCACTCTTTTGTTTGTTGATCTTAAATATTAACAATGATTATATCCAGTACTATTAACCTTTGACCTCCAGTGTTTCCATCAGGCCTGCTAAAGATCACACATCATTTATTTTGAAGGGTCGCGTTTTATTTTGGAGGGTTTTCTTGTCGTTTTCAGACCTGATCTGATCGACTTTGATAAGCTGAAGAAGTCCAACGCTCACTACAACCTGCAGAACGCCTTCAACCTGGCAGAGCAACACCTGGGGCTGACCAAGCTGCTGGACCCGGAAGGTCAGCACACACTGACACACACACTGACACACACCCTGACACACACTGACACACACTGACACACACACTGACACACACACTGACACACTGACACACACACACACTGACACACACACTGACACACTGACACACACACTGACACACACACTGACACACACACACACTGACACACACTGACACACACACTGACACACACACACACTGACACACACACACACAGACTCGGTGAGTTAACGCTGCTGCTCTCCTCTGCAGACATCAGCGTTGAACATCCTGATGAGAAATCCATCATCACCTACGTCGTCACTTATTACCACTACTTCTCCAAGATGAAGGCGCTGAAGGTGGAGGGCAAGAGGATCGGCAAGGTGAGCTGGTTCTGACCCGTCTCTGGTTCTGACCCAGCAGCCCCAGTCAGGCTTGGCGTCCTGTCATTGGTCAGAACCCAGCTCTGCAGCTGATTGGTCGAAGTCTTAAAGCTGCTGCAGAAGAACAAAACCTGAGGATTAACGTTAAATGTGTCCAAATCTGGCAGCTTCACCTCGATTTAAAGAGACACAAACTGCCAGCAGTTTATATTTATTTCTAATTACTGTGAGCTTGAAGCAAACATAAAGACCCTTGATGACAAAAGATGATTTGAATTCATCTGGATCTTTCTGAAAATGTAACTTTTTTTTTTTTTTTTGCATAAATCTCCAAACTCAAGTAAAGTCAAATTTGTGCCATTTTTGTATTGTTATTGAGGGCCACACATAATCACTTTGACGGCCACAAACGGCCCCCAGGCCACACTTTGGACACCCCTGCTTTAGCTGCTGCCTGGAAATGTTTTATTAAAGTTCAGTAAGTTATTCTTAGGAAAACAAGTAAAACAGAATCGTTGGTTTTTGCTCTCTGTGTATCGTCTCTCGCTGACGCAGCGTTTTTCCCTTCGCCTCGCCTCGCAGGTTCTGGACAACGCCATCGAGACAGAGAAGATGATCGAGAAGTACGAGTCTCTGGCGTCGGACCTGCTGGAGTGGATCGAGCAGACCATCATCATCCTCAACAACAGGAAGTTCGCCAACTCGCTGGTGGGCGTCCAGCAGCAGCTGCAGGCCTTCAACACGTACCGCACCGTGGAGAAACCGCCCAAGTCAGTGGAACATGCATATAATATATCATAAAACAAGACGCAGCTGTGGGTTTTTAATTAAGTGTAAAATCTGTGTTCAGGTTCACAGAGAAGGGGAACCTGGAGGTTCTGCTCTTCACCATCCAGAGTAAGATGAGAGCCAACAACCAGAAGGTTTTCACGCCGCGCGAAGGAAAGCTCATCTCCGACATCAACAAGGTACCTGCAGCGTGACATCAGGGGGCAGAGGTCAGAGTCCCCGCTCCGGCCCGGGGTCGCCGACCCCACTCTGACCTGGGTGCGTTTGTTTCAGGCCTGGGAGCGCCTGGAGAAGGCGGAGCATGAGCGGGAGCTGGCCCTGAGGACGGAGCTGATCCGCCAGGAGAAGCTGGAGCAGCTGGCCAGACGCTTCGACCGCAAGGCCGCCATGAGGGAGACGTGGCTGAGCGAGAACCAGAGGCTGGTCTCACAGGTACCACTCACCTGGACTCACCTGGACTCACCTGAACTCACCTGGACTCACCTGAACTCACCTGAACTCACCTGGACTCACCTGGACTCACCTGGACATGTCGACTCAGTTATTAATTACAGTCCAGAATGATAGGAGAATGTTTTACTTGTTTATTCAGATTTCTTTCCTTCATTTTTCTGTTTTTCCTCTCCTCCCTCTGTTCTTTCTCTCCTTTCCTCCTTCCTCTCGTCTTCCTCTTCAGGATAACTTTGGATTCGACCTGCAGGCCGTGGAGGCGGCCACTAAGAAGCATGAAGCCATAGAGACGGACATCGCGGCGTACGAGGAGCGCGTTCAGGCGGTGGTTGCCGTGGCGAGGGAGCTGGAGGCGGAGAGTTACCATGACATCAAGCGCATCACGGCCAGGAAGGACAACGTGATCCGGCTGTGGGAATACCTGCTGGAGCTGCTGAAGGCCCGGCGCCACCGGCTGGAGCTCAACCTGGGCCTGCAGAGGGTTTTCCAGGAGATGCTCTACATCATGGACTGGATGGACGAGATGAAGGTAACGTCGTCATCCTCGCTGCGGAGGCTCCGGTCTCACTTTCAGCTCCGAGTCGCCATGAAGCCGAGATCTGCAGCTGAGCTTCAGAGAGAGTTAGAACTGCAGCCAGCAAAGGGAAAATGTACCTGCTGCTGTCGTTTGGACTGAAACTCCAGCAGAAAGATTATTTTACTGATGTCACAAAGTTTATTAGAAATAACTCATATTTGTCTTTAATTATTTGGAGGATGAATATCTGAGCGGTAAATGTGTTTCTGCGTTTTTCTGGCTTTATTGTATTTAAATAAGAATAAAAACTCGTCACTTCTCTTCCTCACTTTTACCTTCATGTATCTTTATTAGTAATTAATATAATTTCCTCTTTTACTGTTTTTGACTAAAATGTTCAGTTTGTTTCTCATTTAAAGATAAATATTCATTTATTTGCTTAAATTTATAATTGAATACAAAATAATTTGTTCTGCAATGTTTTTTGTTTTTTTATGAAAACCCTAAAATGAAATTCTGTTTTTACATTTATTAAAAACTATCACTGCTCCGTTTTATCGTAGAATAAATTATGATTAACTGCCACACATCAAACCTCCACAGACTAAAAATAAACATTTTCTGTTGTTTTTACAGCTAAAAGAGTTAAAATGTCCAGACGGACATAAAGAGGCTCAGCAGCTAAAGGTTAAATCACATGATGTGATTGGCTGATAATTAACTTTATTTAAATCACAGTGAACGACAAACAGACCAGTCAGTTTCCTCTTCCTGCCTGAAAACAGGATACATTTTAATTCCCACCTGGTTTCCATGTAAAGTTCATCTTTTCTTTCACTAAAGTGATGCTACTAAACCAAAACCCGTTGCCAAGGCAACGTTCAGTCTCGTTCAGCAAACCCACGCATCACTAAAACTTTTCCAGATCTTTGTTCAAACAAGCAGAATCACAAAGATCCTGTTTTATATGTTACATTTTTTTCTGTTTTTCAGTAATTATCAGAAAATATAATTTAATTATTGATCTAATTCATATTTATATCTCTGTAAATCCCAGCAAAGGTGATTAATGGCTTCTCTTTTAGTCCAAGTAATAAAATAGAAACCGTTTTACCTGCAGACATTCTGGACTCATAATCCTCCAGACCAGGTGTGTCAAACTCGAGGTCCGTGGGCCAAATCTGGTCCACTGTAAACATCTCTGTGGTCCTCAGAAATAAAACAGTTTGATTCTTAAAAATCATTTTATAATCAGAACAGAGCAGTTTTTATCTGAATATTCACAAACCTTGTTAGTGAGAAAAGATTTTTCATGTTTCATTTTAGTGCAGGTTTTTATTTTAATAGCTTTTTAATGGGTTGTTTTATTAATTCTGATAAAACCAAAATTTATTATCTTAATACGGTTCAGAATGAAAATCAGTTTAAATGAATCCAGGATTCATTTAAAGTTTAGAAAATTAAACTAAAATTTTAAGTTTTATAAATAACTTAATAAAAGTTCTGCGGGATATTTTTTATTATCTGTTTAAATCATAAAATCATTAGTTGGTTATTGTTAACATGCTCAGTGGAGAAGCTGCTGCTGCTCAGCAGGTGGCGCTGCAGGTCCAGGAGGGAATCAGACTCTGGTCCAAACTGAAGGCAGAGAAACGGCAGCAGCTTCACGAAGCTGGAGATGAAAACAAACATTTTCCAGAAAGTTTTCATTTTTTAAATGGTTTTAGACGATTCGGCGGAAAAATGTTTTTGTTTTTGTTTCTGATCACTCTGAATAACCTCCCGTCTGGTTGACCGTCCTGTGTTGACCTCTGACCCCGGCAGATGCTGCTGCTGTCCCAGGACTACGGGAAGCACCTGCTGGGTGTGGAGGATCTGCTGCAGAAACACGCTCTGGTGGAGGCCGACATCTCCATCCAGGCCGACCGCGTCCGCAACGTCAACAGAAACGCCCAGAAGTTTGCCAGCGACACCGACGGTACGCCGGCGCCGCCCGCCGTCCGTCTGCGCCGCTCCTCTTCCTCACCACTCCTCTTCCTCACCGCTCCTCTTCCTCCCCCCAGGCTACAAGCCCTGCGACCCGCAGGTCATCCGGGACCGCGTGGCGCACATGGAGTTCTGCTACCAGGAGCTGAACCAGCTGGCGGCGGAGCGGCGCGCCCGCCTGGAGGAATCCCGCCGCCTCTGGAAGTTCTTCTGGGAGATGGCTGAGGAGGTCCGCTGACCTTCGACCCATCTGCCGGCCGTGCAGCGGTGGCGGTATCCACGGTAACCTGGCGTTCTGGTTTGCAGGAGGGCTGGATTCGTGAGAAGGAGCAGATTCTGTCATTGGAGGATCATGGGAAGGATCTGACGGGAACGGTGCGGCTGCTGAGTCAGCACAAAGCCTTCGAGGACGAGATGAGCGGCCGCGCCGCCCACCTGCAGCAGACCGTCAGGCAGGGCCAGCAGCTGGTGGACGACAACCACTTTGGAGCCGAGAAGATCAAGGAGCGCATTCAGGACATCCAGGTGGGCCGACACGGGGTCAAAGGTCAGGAGGCTTTTATTCTGAAAGAACCAGCCTAATGGGGCACTTCCTGTCTCTGCAGGATCAGTGGGCGACTCTGGAGCGCCTGTCTGCCGTACGGAAAACCCGCCTGCAGGAGGCCTGCAACCTGCACCAGTTCCAGGTGAGAACCTCCCACAGATCCCAGTCAGAGGTCAGAGAGCTACTTCCTGCTGCCCAGTCACCACTTCCTGTTAGTCCTGGACGATATGGCTGAAAAACGCTCATATCAGTTGATATCAATTTTTGATCAGTTTTTATTTTAAATATCTGAAACTGGTGAGGCGACATTTCCTGTTTCATCCAGTTTCACTTCAGACTGGTTTTTATTTTTAATTATTATTAGGTTATTAAAAAGGGTGTTGCTAGGTAACCATAAAATACTCTGCAGGGTGTTGCTAGGTAACCATAAAATACTCTGCAGGGTGTTGCTAGGTAACCAAAGAGTGCGTTGATGCCACCCATCTGGCTCCGCTCACTGTGAGAAGCTGAGCAGCTAAAGTTTTTCCCAGAATGCTTTGCTGTTCTGGGTCAGAGTTCAGTGAAATGGTGGAATCAGGTGTGTTAGGTTGATCCAGTGTCTATAGATGAATTATTGCTCTGACCCGACCTTTGACCCTCAGGCTGATGCTGACGACATCGACACCTGGATGCTGGATGTCCTGCGCATCGTCTCCAGCGAGGACGTCGGCCATGATGAGTTCTCGGCGCAGGCTCTGGTGAAGAAGCACAAAGACGTGGCGGAGGAGATCAGCAGCTACCGGCCCGTCATCGAGGCGCTGCACGAGCAGGCGCAGACGCTGCCGCCGCAGAAGGCCGGCTCCCAGGAGGTAACGCCGCCGCCACTCGGGCCCCGCCCACACGGGCCGGGACGCCCCTCCTCACCGCCGCCTTCGCCCCGCAGGTCCAGGCCCGGCTGGCCGGCATCGAGGAGCGGTACGCGGAGGTGGCGGAGCTGACCCGGCTCAGGAAGCAGGCGCTGCAGGACGCGCTGGCGCTCTACAAGATGCTGAGCGAGGCCAGCGCCTGCGAGCTGTGGGTCGACGAGAAGGAGCAGTGGCTCAACGGCATGGACATCCCGGAGAAGCTGGAGGACCTGGAGGTGGTCCAGCACCGGTGAGACCCGGACCCGGCCGGACCGGAACCACGGGCCGGGAGCAGAACCGCCGGCGATGCTCACGGCTCGCTGTCCGTCTGCCTGCAGGTTCGAGAGTCTGGAGCCGGAGATGAACAGCCAGGCGTCCCGCGTCGCCGTGGTGAACCAGGTGGCCCGGCAGCTGGTCCACAGCGGGCACCCCGGGGAGACCGAGATCCGGGCCCAGCAGGACAAGCTCAACACCAGGCGAGTGGGCCGGGTCAGGCCGGGCCGGGTCCAGGTGGAACGCCCTGGTTCTGATGGCGGTTCTGTCCGTGTCCAGGTGGAGCCAGTTCAGAGACCTGGTGGACCAGAAGAAGGAGAACCTGAACTCGGCGCTGGGCGTCCAGAACTACCACCTGGAGTGCAACGAGACCAAGTCCTGGATCAAGGAGAAGACCAAGGTACCGACCCGGCCCAGCCCGGACCAACCGGGCCTCCGGCAGAACCTCAGCAGGCCGCTTTGTGTTGCAGGTGATCGAGTCGACCCAGGAGCTGGGCAACGACCTGGCCGGGGTCATGGCGCTGCAGAGGAAGCTGACCGGCATGGAGCGCGACCTGGCGGCCATCGAGGACAAGCTGGCCGACCTGGACAAGGAGGCGGAGCGCCTGGGGAGCGAACACCCGGAGCAGGCCGGCGCCATCAGGGGCCGGCTGGCCGAGATCACCGCCGTCTGGGACGACATGAAGGTCAGAGGTCGTCTCTGCAAACACTGCTGCTGCTGGACATTCAGAGAGTTAAACTAGTGCTGGCAATCCATTCAAAATACGATACGACCAATCACCAATAATCACCAATAATCACTGTGCTTAGCTTTGAAAGCTTCATGTTTCACTGTCTCAAACCAAACCTGTCAGTTTTCTAGGTTTTCATTTTCAGGAAGATTCAAAGAAGTGATTTTGTTTCAGATGTAATGAAATGTTTCCATAAGCTGGATGATTCACGGCTACAGGAAATGCACATCGCCGTGGTTTTATCCAAACGTTCGTCACTCTTTTCTGTACCAGTGGATTGTATTTGACAGCAATCTGACAGGATGTCAGAAAGGAGGCAAAGGAACCGAGGATCCAAACTCAGGACGGCCTGCAGCCCCTGAACGCAGCGCCGCGCTAACAGCTGAGCTCCCAGACTGACTGTTCAGTGTCATGTAGGCTCATTGGAAGAAAAGCAGTAAATCTGCACTAAAAATCTATTACATTTTTTAGATTAATTTCAGGAATTTAAGAAAAAACCTGAACTTTTCTGAGCTTGTATATTTGAAAATTTGACAGAAAAAAACAGAAATGTTGATTAATCTCAGTTCATTAGACCAAAATGTTTGACTTTTGAAAGTCAGAAGAAGTTTGGTGGATATTTACTCCGGTTTGTCTCCTATCGTGGCTCTGATGTGTCTGACTGTCGTCTCCTCGTTCCTCTGGTTTGTGACTCTGCCCTGTTGACCGCAGTACAAGCCGCGCACTGCAGAGGGATTCTTTGAGCCAACTAACCCTCTGTGATAGAGAAGTTTTCAGGTCAAAATATGTGATGCCATTAATCAGCGTTCTGTGATATTAGCGTGTTAAATGCTGTAGATGAATCTGTGTGTTTAACGTCGACCCGTCTGCCCCGGTCCGCCTCTAGGGGACGCTGAAGAACCGCGAGGAGTCCCTGGGCGAGGCCAGCAAGCTGCAGCAGTTCCTGCGGGAGCTGGACGACTTCCAGTCGTGGCTGTCCCGCACGCAGACGGTCATCGCCTCGGAGGACATGCCCAACACGCTGGCCGAGGCCGAGAAGCTGCTGGCCCAGCACGAGAACATCAAGAACGAGATCCGCAACTACGAGGAGGACTACCAGAAGATGAGGGACATGGGGGACATGGTGACGCAGGGCCAGACGGACGCCCAGTACATGTTCCTGCGGCAGCGGCTGCAGGCGCTCGACACCGGCTGGAACGAGCTGCACAAGATGTGGGAGAACCGGCAGAGCCTGCTGTCCCAGTCCCACGCCTACCAGCTGTTCCTGAGGGACACCAAGCAGGTCGAGGCCTTCCTCAACAACCAGGTAACCACCAATGATGATGATGTCAC